TAGTTTACTATTAGCCCAGGCACTCTAGTACCTGTGACTGTAATATATGTAGATATCAGAAACTAATAAACATCAGCTAAATCTTTTGATATCATGTTGGCCACATCGTTGTCTTCTGCTACAGGAATAGAAGTGTTGCTGCGTAAAGTTAAATACCATTCTGGAGGCAAAACTCACGTGACCGTGGCAGATCTTTCACAGGATGGTGAATGAAGAAATTCCTCTTCATCTGAAGCCTAAATGACTTGTCATTTGCTTTAAGACTGTGTACCCCACAGCTAGGGGAACTGTCCTTTTCTTGCATCTACTCCGCCCATCCCTTTAAGAATTTTGTAGGTTTATATGAGATCGCCCCTTATTCTTCTAAATGTCAAATAGTACAGGCCCAATCAATCTCTCCTCCTAGAATAGTCACACCACCCCAGGAATCAGTCAAGTGAACCTCAGCTGCACCCACTATGGTAACAAGTATATTTTCCTTTGGTCTGGCAGCACCTGTGAAGAAAAAAAAATCAGAGTTAACATTTCAGTTCCAGTGACCCTTCCTCAGAACTCCCCAGTTCTGAGGAAGGCTCATTGGACCTGAAATGTTAACTCTGATTTTTTCTTCACAGATGCTGCCAGGCCGGCTGAGCTTTTCCAGCAATTTTTGTTTTTGTTCCTGATTTACAGCATCCGCAATTCTTTTGGCTTTTATTCTCCTTTGGGCAAGGAGACCAGAACTGCGCACACTATTCCAGGTGCAGTCTCACCAATATTCTGAAAATCGAAACAAAACTTCTTTGTTCCTGTATGCAAATCTTTTTTTAATAAAAGCCAGCATACTGTTTGCCTTCTGAATTGCTTGCTGCTTCTGCATGCTAGCTTCCAGTGACTTATGAATAAGGATACTTTCTTCCGTTTGGACATCAACACCTTACGATTGCTCATCAGAAATACTCTGCATCTTAGTTGCTTCTGCCAAAGTAGATAACCTCAAATTTAGCCATTCTCTGTTCCATCTGCTGTAGTTTTACCAACTCACTCAGCCTGTCTAAATTCCCTTGAAACGTCTTTGCATCCTCCCCACAACATGCAAGCCCACCAAGTTTTGTATTAGTTATAAACTTGAAAATATCACAACTGAACCTTACACCCAAATTATTAATATAGTTTTGTGAACAGCTAGAACCCAAGCAGTTGGATTCATTGGTCAAAGCCTACACTCTGTTTTTGCCTGTTAATTGATCCTCAGTTTTTGCTAATCTATTCCTTTTTACTTACCTATGGAAACTTTTACAAACAATTTTGGTTTCTTTGTTTTACATTCATATTCTGTTCTCTCTTTCTTCATAAATTTCTTGATCTACCTTTGCTGAATTCTAAAATTGTCCCAATTTTCAAGCTTATGACATTTTCTGGCAACTTTGTAAGCTATAGACAGGCCTAGAAATATCACGCCATGTCCGGATATAACCATTACTTAAAAAAAAAAAGCAATTAAAGGCATCAAAACGAAATTAATATAAAGAAAAGAGAAATTGTTCTTAAGTGATTAAGTTACAGCTAGGTTTTAACAAACATAAAAATAAGGCAATAAGGCTCTTGTAGCATTGTGGTAGTGTCCTTATCTCTGGTCCAGAAGGCTTGGTGCAAGTCCCCCTGCTCCAGAGATGTGTCATAACATCTAAACATGCTGGCTTAAAAATAAGGCAAAGGAGGTATAAGAAGCAATTCGGAGTTCACAATGAGGCTCGGATGGCATGGAAATAATAATATAATTCTTAATGTCTTTCTACAAATATATTTGTAACACACAACTTTATTTAAAATTTCAGGG